CCCACAGCGAGCTCTCCCAGGGCTTAGTGCCCCTCATGAAAGGTCGACTTTAAGCCGATGTCGTCAGTATGTCTTATCAAGCCGACGTCACTTTGGCGTATTAAATCTTTCAACATTCGTAGCTCTCGCGATAGTCGGGTCAAGCTAATTGATTGTCTTTAACCCCTCTTTAGTTATCTTCAGCTAGCTTGAGTCTTAAGCAGTTGATATCTAAAGACATCTTCCACAATGACTCTCCTAAGAAGCTTACAACGAAGTGTAACCTCTTCCTCACGACTTACGGTGAAATCCAACTTTCAAAGAACAAGTCTTCCACTCGTCATGACACGATTAGCATCTAACAGAGCCCCTAAAGTAAGCCTTGATAGGAAATCTCACTCATTTAATCATAGCACATGCTCACCTTACAACTATTATAGCTCAATGATCCCTCCCTTTTCAAGACTGATGTCTGCTATGTAAATGGGGAATGGATCAAGGCTTCATCGGGTAAGACCTTTAAGGTATATGACCCTGCCACGGGCGACATCGTCGGAACGTGTCCCGAGTTCACCGGCAAGGATACCGAAAATGCCATCGCCGCAGCCGCCGCGGCGTTCCCTAGCTTCCGGACGAAAACGGGTCGCGAGAAGGCTAGGCTACTTCGCAAGTGGTACGACTTGGTGGTGGAGAATGCGGAAGACCTCGCTAAATTAATTACGTGGGAGAACGGGAAGCCCCTTACGGATGCGAAGGGCGAGGTGAACTACGCTGCCAGTTTCTTCGAATGGTTCAGCGAGGAGGCGCCGAGAGCATATGGTGATTCCATTCCAGCTACGGTCCCAGGGAACAGGGTTGTGACTATCAAGCAACCCGTCGGCGTCTGTGGTTTAATTACGCCGTGGAATTTCCCTGCTGCCATGATTACTCGCAAGCTTGGTCCTGCTCTAGCTGCTGGCTGCACGGTTGTCGTCAAGACGCCAGGAGAGACGCCGTTTACGGCTCTAGCCCTGGCCGAACTAGCACACCGAGCTGGAATTCCGAAAGGCGTCGTTAACTTTTTGACGACTCTTGAAAATACCCCCGAAGTTGGAGAGACGCTGGCAACTCATCCTACCGTGCGGAAGGTATCTTTCACTGGATCAACACAGGTGGGCAGGCTTCTTATGAAGCAAGCATCTCCAACTTTGAAAGTCCTGTCAATGGAATTAGGAGGCAATGCTCCATTCATAGTTTTCGATGACGCGGACGTCGACGCAGCAGTCGCTGGTGCGGTTGCCTCCAAATTCCGTTCGTCTGGCCAGACTTGCGTGTGCGCCAACAGAATATATATCCAACAAGGCATTTACGACGAGTTCGCAAAGAAGTTTGCCGAGAAGGTCAAGGAATTTAAGGTCGGCAACGGATTTGACGAGGGCGTCACTCACGGACCTCTGATCCACGACCGGGCCATATCAAAAGTAGATGCCCACATTAAGGACGCCGAGAAGAAAGGCGGTAAGGTGGTCGTTGGAGGACAAAAGATGCCAGACCTAGGCTCCAATTTCTACCAACCTACTGTTATCACGGGTATGACGAAGGACATGGCCATCGCGGGCGAAGAGACCTTTGGGCCTGTGGCCGGCCTATTCCCATTCGCAACGGAACAAGAAGTGGTAGACCTGGCAAACGCTGCTGAGGTTGGTCTAGCGGGCTATTTCTTCTCACGAGATCTAGAACGGATCACAAGAGTCGCCGAGGCACTAGAAGTAGGCATGGTGGGTGTCAACACCGGTCTAATATCCGACACTGCTTCACCGTTCGGCGGTGTCAAGCAATCTGGATTTGGCAGGGAAGGATCTAAGTATGGCATCGAGGAGTATCTGAACATCAAGACGATAACATGGGGAGGCATGACTAAGTCACTGCAAAGCTGAATATTCTCATACGATGTACATCTATTATGATGGCGTTAATGTGTTAAAATGGAACTGAGCGAGTTTTAGATTGGAATATGATTATTCAAATAATAGCTGTCAATATTGAAGTTTTGATGAGATATTTAATCGTTCCTAACATTCTGACAGCGGTTCCATTGTAAGTGAAGCTTTAAAAGTGCTTAGGTACATATCCCCATACTTAAATGCATCGCTTAGATGCATGAATAATTCAAACACCGTCAAAGTCGGAGAATGAGGTCCACTACCTCGCTATCTTCAAATCTCGAAAATTTCTAGGAGCCTCGCGAACTTCACATCACAACGCAATTGGGGTCCCAATGATTCGGCATCCGTTACACTCGGCCATCGGCCGCGCGAGGCCAGACCTCAATCGAGTTGCCGACGGCATCACAGCTTCCCTACGCCAATTCTGCGTCTCTGCGCGACGGAGCAGTCCCGACAACGACGACAGTAATAACCAAAGTAGATCCACCAGCCGCCAGCGTGCTGCTGCTGCTGCTTTCGACGAGCTCCTCGCATTAAGAGACACCGCCCCGTCTCCGTCGAAGCAGACCCCTAATTCCAATTCGCCTATCAGAGCCAAAGAACCCAGAGTCGTCTCTGTGAAGAGCTTGCCGTTTGGGAAGCTTAACGCATTCTCAAAGACTGGCGACGAATCTGCGGACGGCGGTAACGTCGAGCAGAGGACTTGGGGGTCGAACGTCATTAGAGGCGGGTTCCAAGGCCGCGGGCGGGGAGGCAACTTCGGTTTTGCAGGCCGAGATGGCACCGCACGACGACGAGGAGGAGGAGCTGGTGGCATGAGCAGAGACGACCGGCCGCGCCGCGCCAGAAGCGCGCGAGGTCGACGCAGGGGCGGAGACGAAGACGGAGGCCGTAGAGGCCGCAGGCGAGAAGCAAACGCCGACGTCGAGGCCATAGACGCCCACCCCCAAGTCAAGGCGTACCTAGAGGCGCGAGAGATGGGCGCCACCGTGCCCTTCAACCCGACACTCTCGCTGCAGTCGCTCTTGGGCCACGGTCCCGCCGTCGCCACGGCCGGCACCCCGTTCGGCCACGGCGAGATCGTCATGCGGCAGACGCGCATCCTAGGCCGCGGCCGGGACGTCCGACCGACAAACATGCAGCGCCCCGACGACATCCGCGCCGTGCTGCGCGCAGGCGTCCTCCTGCCGCCGTCCCGCGAGGCCAAGCTGCAGATGAGGAAAGCGCCGAATTTCAGGCTCGTCTACGGCCCGGCCGCGGTCAGGACGGCGGTGCTGGAGGACGCGCTCCTGGGCAAATACGAGGGCCCCAAGTATGCGGATCCGAACGATACTATTGGCACCCTGAGGAACTACGTCAAGAGGGATGCCACGTGGAATGCCGATGCTGAAAGGAGTATCGAGGCCAAGGTGGGGAGTCTGCTGGGCCAGCAGGCTGGGGCGGCTGGTGGCGGTGCGACGCCGAAGACGTGAGATATCTATCCACTCATTAGAGGTTGATCGATCGATTCTTATGTCTGCGTATGTGCTGAGGAGAAATTTGCACGTAGGGGCTTAAAACATAAAACGAATCCAGGCTCCTAGATAGGTCTTGTTTTTGTACCATCGTAAGACGTTTGTAACAACATCTAGTCTAGTGTACACGCCCTTCTATATATACACGGGACGCCACATCGCTACTGATCTAACATGTGCCGAACCCTTCGTCGTATTTTGTACATTGCCTGATTTTTAAGTAACTGAGTCGCCTTTACTCTTACTCCCTCTCTACCTACCTAGCCTCAGCAGCCCTAAGCCCCTCCTTCTCCGCGTCGTCAATCTCGCTCATCTTGGCCTTGATGACCTTTTCGAGCTCCTTATCAATCATCCTCCTCATATCCGAGGTTATGCTGCGGTTCTTGCGCCACGCGTCGTGCAACTTGTCCCTCCTCTGGCGTATGCTCCTAACCCTGTCGCGCCAGCCATTGCACAGGGCCTTGACGCGTTTCAGCAGGTCGTCGCGGCGCTCGGGTTCGATCTTGAGGATTAGTTCGAGCTCGTTGTCCGGGTCGCGCTGGGGCTGCTGGTTGAAGTCGGCGCTGGCCTGCACGGCGCTCATGATGGGCTTGACGTAGGCCTCCTCGTGCGCGATCAGCGAGATCGTGCGCCCGCCCCGCGGGATCACCTGCGCCATCTCGCGCAGCGGGTACGTGACCCCGGGCGTCTTCCGGTCCGGCTGCACGCGCAGGCCCCCGACTATGTCCGGGTTGAACCGCCCGCCTGACTTCAGCTTCATGAGCGACTCCCGGTAGTGCGACTCGTGCCGTTGCATGCGCGACGCCACGTCGGCGAAGTCGAGCGGGTCCTCGGGGTTCGGCTGCGGGTGCTTGGGCCCGTCGTCCTCGTGGACGCTCTCTGCTGCTGGTTCTTCCTCTTCCCGCATCTTGTTGGTCTTCGTGTGCCTGCCTCGCGGCCCGGACGCCCGTGATGATTTACTCTTGCATGTGACTGTGGTCGTGTAGAAAGCAAAGGCTCGCAGGTCGCCTATGACGGGATGAGATATTCTATGGACCGAGATTGGTCGGACATGTTGTGAGACCTCAGGGCTACTCGCTCTGAAGCTTGGTCGGGCTACATCGTGGCTGCTTCGGTAGGTGTAAGAGTAAGGCCTTTTCCTCGGTAGTTAGTTGGGTCAATTGGGAGGACTGACACTCTTCCAAGCTCGTGTCGAGCGAAGCTCTGCCGCAGGAGTGCTCTGGCGGTCGTATTCCGCATGCTGCGTGAGATGAGATAAATTTAATAGATCCCGAGATCGAGGTCGTGAGCTAGAAATTTAGGGTTAATTGCTTGCAGTTTCCCATGCTTATCGATAAGCCGTCCAGAATGTTCGTACCTTGTAACATCGAGTCCAACAATCTCGGACAGAAAGAACTCCCTACATGTAGGGTACCTACTTGATCTTTTAAGCAAGAGATCAGTTCCATTGCCATGCGTAACATTTCTTGACTACCAATTCCGCACCCGTGCACTGTGCTAGGCTATTGTGGGCGAAGCTTGGCCCCACTTAACGCACTAAGTAATATAAAGCACTATAAAATGATTCGTTGACATCACAAGTGGTCGACTGGTGTAGTGGTTATCACGTCTGTCTTACAATCACACCAGTGAGGTATATTGTGAGGACACAGAAGGCCGCAGGTTCGATCCCTGCGTCGATCAGCTTTTTGCCTTTCTACACTTCTGCGATTGAGTAGTATCATTATCTTTATTTTTCATTTCAAATTGTCTTGCTTTTCTCATCTTTCCCCCTCCTTTTTGCCTGATTAATAAAGTTGAGCAAACCCTACGAACGCGCCTTTTCTCCTTGAATGATACTAGGTGGACAAATATAGATGAGACTTATTGAGTCGTTTAGGTGATTAAGTATTTGTCATTTTCAATACTTTCTTGTATGATGGCTGAGAGGTAGGTATCCTTAGCCTCTCAAGACAGTTCGCTTTCGTAGCTCATATCAAAGTCCTGGTACTCCGGCCGCTAGCACTCAATAACACCAACGGATAGCCCGACTTGTTTAAGAGAGCATCCTCTCCCTCAATAAGGCATGATGAACTTCGAATTATCCTAAGAGTCGAATTGTTTGTGTTGAGAGATCCATGCTCTAAAGGTTCCGTGCGACCACCTTGTCAAATATTTTGTATCGGTTGGTTAGACGCAAGGCACTCATACCCTAAAGGTCTTACTCATGGCATATAGTCCTTGTTATAGGGCTATTTTCTGTCACTGCCGTGTATCACACAAGGGACACAGTGCACTCGCTTTAAGCTAGATAAATCCCTACTAGAATGTATTAGCTCTTTTTTACGATATATTTAATAGAAGATAGGGCTTTCTCAGTGCAACAATTGCAAACAAGTAACTGGGTAGCTAAACGGGTCACAACGAATCTAAGATCGAAGTGAGCAAGTTATTTGCATTATTCTCCATTGATCTTTTAACGTCCTGATCCTATTAAGTGACTTCTTACCTTACTTGTTTATAGCCGCTATCCAATCGCGTACCACCTAAAAACGAGTATAACTTGTTAAGAATACGCGGCAGTGACTATTAAAATGGACACTAGCTCACTGGCAATAATTAGAATATTGTCATATCTTATCCCATAAACGCTCTGTTCTTGAACCTTATATGATCTTGATACGAAGCAATTATGATAAAAGTTGCTATGAATACTTCATAGTTTATTAACCAAACGAGGCCTAATTCTAAGAAACTTCACTACTTCTAAATGAATCTTTATCATATAGATAAGTATATATCTTACCTACTATAGTATTTACGATGCTACATACTAAACTAATGGTGGCAATGCGAACTCCGTACGCTATTCTCGGCGGACTTTCCGATGTTATCGTCGTCTCTTAACCGTCTATAATTAAGGGCAAGAAAATATTACATACGGAAAAGCAAAACCTTAGATATAGCCTAAACTATATACAAAGACATCTCTACTCTTCAAATATTCTATTTATTACTTATACGCAAGCTTATCTTAATAAGGCTACCGTTTAGACATATATTCTTAATCGAGTATAAATCACGTCTTCCGTCTTTACCAAGGTCCTGTGACATCACGACCAGTACCAAGTGGTCATAATGGTCACTCTACAATAAATTAATATACAGCTTGTTTTTCAAGTTTATAGATGGGTCGATTTAGCCTTTAGAGCCGCGCGTCTCAATAGCGGCATCTAACAGGTTGTAGATCTACTCGTTAGGTAATTACAACTGCCGCGTACCAGACAACTTGGCTATAAGGACCATGTGTGATTCAGTTATTGGCTAGAATTGGAATTTGACTGGGCTATATCGATAGGTATGTAATTTCTATATGAATTCACGTAACAGCGACGGGAACATTGGTATACTTCTACAATGCAACGGTCATAAACTCCTACTCACGTGCTAGGATAATACTACCCTAAATACACCCATGTCCCCCCTATCTGAGATCTTTCCTTTGCCACACTCAAGGACTGCGGGAGCTAGGGTTGCTTCTACTTTTACTACCCACAGAGTGGCTTGCCTTGTTTTTCGTACAAACATGTTGGTATCGTAACATTGTAATCAAATCATGGATGTGTGCTGGCCGCGTGGACAATCTGTCCGAGTCTACTGCATTCAGCAACGTTACGACACGCCTTATCTAAGAGATATTACATTATCTCTTCATGTACGTCATCCAAATAGTCTTGGATATGAGCAGTGAGTTGATTTAGACTCACAATAGTAGTAATCTGCTTTGCTGGCATCCCCCGTATTTTGCGGCTTTTGGTACAAGATTCTATTGGACAGCAGCACCCATGCTGTCGGCCATTGGGCTTTGGGCATTCAGCTGGGACAGGTTTAGGAACGTCATTCGCGGTTGGCCACGGCATAGACGTTGATCAGCCTTCATGGGATAAGTGAAACTGTCACATGCAAAGTAAGATCGGCGGCTCTACGGATCGTGGATAATAGATGAAAGTCTCAAGTTAGCGAGGTGTACGAAAGACCCGAACGAACGCATTCTTACCGATCTTCCTCAACAACCCCGAGATTATTCCCTGTTGTATATTACCAAACCCCCTAATTCCATGGCTCTGGTTACGTTCTGACTATCTTGTTTGCTTATCTCATTATCTAAACAAGGAGGCCTCCTTGTCTAGCCTCTGTTACGTTTTCCAGAGTCAACACCATATTGATTATCATGGCAGGGTGAGAAAGGAAAGGGGAGAAGAGAACGGTTAAAAACGTGTCACGATTACGCTCAAATCATTTTAAAGGGTAATCGACTTGGTGCCCTTCAGTCTTTAGTCCAGCTTCGGTCTAGTTCCTGATAGCAATTATTCACTAGACCTGCTCTTCCCAGGTCCTCGCCTTTGAGGTTTCTAATACCCCTTGATATTGATCCTCGAAAAGTGCGCTAGCAGCTCATCGCAATCCGATGACCGGATATTTCACGTTTCTTGTCATATTGGGCATTAACTGCTCACGTTTGAGATCTCGGGATTCCGGGATGGCGGACAGAATAGGCCGTACGACCACATTTGTGAGACTCCTCGCGATGGAGATATTTTCTAAACGACACGTGGACAAGATTATGAATTGTTTAGAGGCAACATCAACTCGGCAATTAGCTTGTCAACTGCCCTCTCACGTTTTCATTCTTCACCGATGTTTCTGTGTTTGCGTTCACCTGATGATAAGTCGCCACTGCTGGTTATGTTGCGGCTTGGGCACATATGAGAGACACACTCTTGGCCCGAGATGTGAAGCCTCGCTTGATTATTTGTAACTAATAGCAATTATTCCACCATCCGCAGTAGCCGCTGTTAATTATTTGATAGGTCGCCCTCCTGGTTGGCTTGTAGGGCTGAGGAATAGTCGTTATGACAAGAGACAAGACCCTGAATGTTACCGAAGCCAGGTCACCTATTCTAGCCGTAAGGCACCTCCTCCGGAACGAGACGCGTGATTCGAAGCCTAACAGATGGGCGGGTTCCCGATTGAAGGAACCCCTGATTCTCTCTTCTGACTAGTTGACGTGCATCTGAGGAAGGGGGTCATACTAGGGGCACCCAATCACTGGTGAATATTGATACGCGTTCCGATGATTACGCCAAGTGCCGAATCGATATGTCGCATTTTCTCGACGGCAGCGGGCCGGCAATCTTGACAATTCGCATTGAAGTTGACAAGTCAACAACGGGGAGCCGGGGCACGCAGTATAAGCCGCAAGCGGCATGTCAGACAAGAACATACCCAATCGCGGGGAGAGGATCGGATGTTGAAGTATTTCTAGGCGAATTCCATGTCTCGCCGTGATCTTGTTAGTCGATGCTTGTCTCACAGTTTAACAGTCATATGGAAACACTAATGCTGCGGAACTGTACGCAGAGCCAGCCCTAATAGCTCGACGCCCCCCTTGACCCCCCCTTAACGACTACGCTATTGGATGACGGACGAACCAAACCCATGAGGAACCCCAAAACCCTTGGACACACATGCAAGTTTCGTCAACCCCAGAGTACGTTTGCGGGGAAGTGAAAGCATGGCAATGCGGGGACTCGCATCTTGTATACACAGTTGTATCATAGTCGTATACATACCTAGATGAGCATAATGAGGCAGCGATGCATGGAAAGGAGCCGAAAAGATGCGATCATGTGGTGTGGGTATATTTCGACGAGTATTATACCCTCGACCACTGGCCGATTCGGCCGGTCGACACAGACCAGACCAGACCACACCTGACGAAGGTCCAGCCTAACCTCCGAAGACTGCTAGAGCCACCTTAGTCCCAAACGTGACCATCAAGTTGTTGCGAGATACCGTCAACCTTGTGCAATATTTTATTATAAGGAAAAGCGGATGTTGCTAGCGTATCGTATCTTAACTCCACCTTGTTGACTCGCTATGGGTTACCCGAATAGGCAATCCGAAAGTTCGAGATCACTGCTCCTGTGATATCCGTCTTATGATTCATCGTCGATTTTCTTTGTTTAGCGGAGAGGACTTGTGGGATATGCTGAGTGAATAATGTCCATGAGGACAAAGCTTACTATTATGTTGCTGCTTGTCTCGCAAGCGTCACCGAGAACCGAGTTCATACCTAACAGATTAAGATGTCCGTCAGTCTTTGGTCACATATCGGATTTCCAAACCTTCACCGGTCCCCCCTCACCCCAGTTACCCAGTTAAGGCTACCTAGGCATATGTCACTGTACCGGTGGAGAAGAGCTACTTAGTAGCTCTAGAATCATCGAATCCTCGTCCACTTGTGGCCCCTCTCCCTCCTTGGTGGTAGCGGAGCCCCTCATCAGTTGCTCTCTTATTTACCTCACCATTTAGACCCCTAGAACCTATGTCCGCGGCTCTAACCTTAGAGACAAAGGAAAGAGGGGCCGGCTTGGGCACTATGAAGCACCTTGGCGGAAAGGCATTTTCGGCCCACGATAGCTCCTGGAGCAGGGGAATGGAGCCTCGCTATATAAGATGCTCGATCGAAGCATATTCTCAGTGAACTGGATCTCGTTCATCATTCATATTATACTCGTGTGACATCGTGGGCCGCCTTCCCTGATTCGTGTTTCCGGGCTTCTATGTCACCACCCGTTCTTCGTGTGTCCTAGTTCAGCGGGTCGTTATCTTTCTCAAACGAGACACATACTGTTCTGCAC